GCAAATCCTTAGTATAATGTCTTTCTTGTTTGAATAGATTTTATCTTTGCTTTTCTGGAAAAATAATCCTCTGCCAAAAGGGGCAACTAATACCATTATTTCAAAACCTTTCTATTATTAATTCTGCTTGGATTTTAATGGTAATTATGTTGACTAGAAATAAAACATAATAAAATAGTAAAAAATGTAACACACAAAAATATAAATACAATCTGTTGTGTGTAAATGTTTCATAATCTAAAGGAAATTGTGCAACAAGATTTATTTCAAATAATTAAAAAATGCTCTTCTCCAATTAGGAATTCATATTATGTATACATTTCTTGAGTGGTTTTAGGCAACATAATCGTGCCCTGCAGTTTTCTTTTATCTCCTCTGTCACCTCATCTCTTCTTAGACTGTAAATATACAAATATTTTCTTCTCTCATCTATTCTAAAATTAATTACAATAAAAACAAAACAGACTCTCTTGACTACACCCTCCTCTTTGTTTATTGCACAAGGGATAGTATGCATACTTCTTGTATTTCTTTGTTCCACTTTTATGCAGATAAGTAGAGACCATATTTGTAATATGACATATCCTAACACTGTATTTTTCCCTCAACCCATTTCAATAGGATTCTCATCCCCAACATTTTACTAAATCTGATCTCACAAAATGCCAATACCATACCTGTTGCCAAAAGTGAAATTTTAGTATTCCTAATCTTAAGAAACTTTATCTTTCAATACTATTGAACAGAATTTATACTATAATTCTATTAATACTTTGTTTTGACTGCTGTGATATTGTTCACCTTTTTTTTTAACCTGCTTTACCAGACATCACTAAGGATTGCATCTGTGATGCCATATACTTTTAGTCTTTGCATCTTTCTCCTTCCCTATCAGTCATTATTAAGTTTCTCTTGTTGGCTATTATTCTTATGTGATTTCTATATGGATGTTCCAGAGGTAAGCATTGGACTTTCTTCTCCTCCATGTACATACCTGTTGTTTAGATGGCCTTATTCAATTCTGGGATTTATAATATTATTTTATTATGATAACAGTATTTTCTGTAATTTATGTGAGGATATTTAGTATATAAATACTATGGATTGACTCAGAAGAGAATTTCTACACATTTTAATTATAAGCACATATATTGTAATAGACACTATTTATTTAGTATACAGAAAGTCAAAATTTTGGGAAATGGACTCACTACACTGGAATTTTTTATTGTGTTTTACCTGGACATGGAGAAAAAAAATAATGCCATACAGTTTTACAGTGCTTAAAAATCTACAGGGTAAGTATGGATAAACAGATTGAACATGGATTTTTAGGGCAGTGAGACAACTGTATGTTATGGATACACGTAATAATGGATATAATAATATGTATCCATTATTTGTTTTAATGGATACATGTCATTATATATTTGCCAAAACCCATAGACTATGTAACAGGTGATAATGATGCATCAATGTAGATTTACTGATTGATCAAAAAGTGTATCATGTGATATGCACATGATACATTTTTATTTCAACATTCCTGTTAAAAGCCCAGGAAGTTGTGGGGGGCTTCAAGGGTTCTGTGGAAACACCCCACTGCCCCCTAATTTGTACTGTGATTATAAACTTCCCTAAAATCAAGTTTCACTAAAAATAAATAAGAAAAAAATCTATAAATGTGTGTACATATGTGATCAAGTATATATACATATATAAACACAGAGACTCATGTATGTAATACATATTAATGTTATGTTAAATGAGACAATGCATATATATGAAGTACATGTAAATACATAAAGAACATCATACACACATGTTCACAATAAACTGTGACACTGTAAATGTATATATGATTAAGCCTCATGGCATTTTTTTTAGAAAGATAAATATCTGTATTGTTTTAGTGGTTCATAATTTATTTCTTAGAATTTTTAAGTCTCTTCCTAAGTTCACAGGGCTCTGGGACCACAGTGGGGATTGACCCTGACTTCTTTTGTCATGATTATTTATAATCATATAATTAGTTTTCTCTGCTGAGTATATATCAGTATAACAGGAAATATCTTTAAAAGATTTAAATCTTACAAATTATATTTCGATATTTGCATTGATAACCATTCAGTTTGGAATGTATTGGTTTTGAAGGCTGAGGTAAGGAAGCAGTTTTTTTTTTTTTTTTTTGTAGTTAAGTAATAAAGGCTGTAAGAGAGTGAAATATTAAATTTATATTGGAATAAAAATTCTTTCAATGTATGATAGTTTAGGAGAAATTTTGGTTGGGCAGTAGTAAATGCTCTTAAAATTTCCTGAACCATGAGACTCTGGTACACTGACATGATTTAATTTGGTGTTCAAACTGAGTACTTTTTTTTTTTTTTTGTATAATAAATTGAACCTAGGAGTGTTCAAATAGTCAGCCACATCTCCAGCCCTTTTTGTTTTTAAGACAAGGTTTTTCTAAGTTGCTTGGGGCCTAATTAAGTTGCTGAGGCTGGTTTTAAACTTTCAATCCTTCTGCCTCAGCTTTCCAAACTGCTACTGTTAACAGTGGTGCACTGCCTGCCCAACAAATTGAACACATTTTATTTTATTTTTTAAATTTAGGGACTTGTCTTTTTTAAAAAATGGCATTTTGCCTGAATCATTGAGTAGATACATCCCTCACTAGTGACATTAGTCACTTCTAAACTGGCTAAAAGATATAAATAGCATCACTGTGAAGGTAATTTAACCCTTTTCACTTTTAAATTCAAGTGAACCTTTAACCATTTATCACATTCTACTACCATATGTCTAGCTATGTAAATATCCCTTCCAGTAGTCAATTTATACATCGATACATTTCTGAGATTTAAAATGAAAAAGATTAGCTGGCATAATGCTTTAGCACAAAACACAAATGATATCACCCACCAGAATAGAAGAAAATGCATGTAATAAAGGTAATAACATCAGGAAGAGATTTCTTTATTTTTTGGGGGGAAGGTTGATATCCAGAGATTGAACTCAGGTGCACTCTGCCACTGAGCCACATCCCCAGCCCTACTTTACATTTTAGAGACAGGGTCTTACAGAGTTGCTTAATGCTTTGCTTTTGCTGATGCTGGTTTATGAATTCATGATCCTTCTGTCTCAGCCTCCCCAGTTGATGGCATTACAGGCCTGCTCTCCTTCGCCAGGCCAGAATTCTTAATGGTTGAATTTTTCCACATTTATTGAATCTTAAAAGTGCCAAAGATGATACTGAGATTAAAATGAACTTCCTTATAGGGATTTAAATTGCAAAATATAGGCAGCCTATTGACTATATAATTACAAGAAAATTCCAATTTAAGATTTAAAAAATGTATTATTTTTTATATGAAGAACTTATAATTTTTCTACATAATTGAGGGTCCCTGATAAGTACTACTCCATTCCATAAAGTGTGGGTAGTTTCTCACAGGATGTATATTTGATTGAAAGATGGTAATGTGAAAAAATATTCTCTATTTCCAGAGAAGTTCAGGAGGTGAAAGTATGAAATCTCCAGTTATCTTGTCAGATGTTACTAAGAATCTATTACTCCATCTACTCACCAATACTGTCTATCCTCTTCAGCCAGGCAAGTCACTTCTTTGTCTCCAAGTTACAAAAATCTGCTCCCCAAACTGGAAGGTGTTCTCTGCCACAATGTAAGGACCCAAGTCCCTGACCACTCCACATGCAACATTCTCAAGCATCCCCCAAGAACTTTTAAGAAATTTACATTGTGACATTTACTGTTTAAAGCCCTGGTAAGAAATCTTTTGTTACTCTATGTAAATTACTATCAATTCAGTTGCATGAGATGTTAAAACTACTATTGATTTTACCAAATTAAAAGGCTATTAATGTGGTAACTAATTTTCTTGAGTCTATTCCAACAGTAGCTTGTAATGACTATAAATGGTTCTTCTACAGATAAATAAATACTGATAAAAAATAAACAAAGGAATATGTTTCAAAATTAGCTTCCTTACTGAAATGAAACAGGTTATGCTGATCAGTAAGGAATAGCAAGACCTAAAATGTTTGTCCTTTACAAGATTGTAGGCTGAGACACATCCATAGTATTTGTAAGGAAAATGAAATACACATTTATTTAAATGATAGTAGAATTTTGTTTTGAAAAGAAATAATACTTTAAATCCATCCTAGGACATCTATGCCTGCAACCTTAAGTAAGGAGAAAGTCACTGAAGCTAGTAAATCAAGTGTAAAACTTTTAAGTATCAGACATATCTTTATGACTATTGTAGTCTTTGGTGATTAATCAGCTATTTGAGATTTCAAGAGGTTAACTAATGCTGGTTTAAATAATGTCTTAAATCATAATGGGAATGTATGTTTCCATTTGGTTCACTATAACAATAAACCAATTATAAAAAAAAGATTTATTATGACTTTTTGGTATTTTTTTTAAAAGAGAGACTTAACTTGTATTGGGCTGAATGCCATTTGTAATGTGAATTTTATAATTTGAAAGATATTTATATTTTGACCATATTTAATGAACTCAGGAGTAGCTGAGATGTGCCTAGCATATTCTTATTTATTTTTCCTCCTGAATAATTGCTACTTGAGATCTAAAACAACAACAGCAAAATTTTGCCTTTTTCTACTGATGAAGCATAAACCCTTTTATCAAATGGATCACTAAAAATTAAGTCTTAAATCATTGTTCTGGGAATTTAAGAAATCTGGTTTTCTTATTTCCTCTTTGTCAGAATGTTGTAGATATAAAACCTAGAATAACTATAGTTGTTTTCTGCCATACAGAAAGTTAATCTGAGAGGGACTGAACCAGGAAAACCTAAAGACTCTAATTATATTTACTGCCAAGCAAAAATAAACTCTTGACATTTTCAGTCATATAAGACAATAACTGTCCTGAAGTCTTTGGCCAGTTTGAGTCAGGGCTGTACTTTCTTGAAGGTGAAGTATCTAACAAATAGCAGGAATGGGGCTGCAAGTAACATGCTAGAATTATTTTATAGTAAGGGATGTGAGAAAGAATTCTCTAGTTCTCTATTACATGAGAAGCTGGAAATCTTTGATTTATAAATTGTGCAACAGTTGGTCCAAATGTGAATTACATCACTTTAAACTTTAGAGCATATGCTAATAATAAATTGTGAACATAGTGTTAGGCAACGGACAAAAAAATGTAGATCGATGAATTCTATAGTTAACAAAGAAGAAAATTTATTTTGTTACTTACCTGTGAAAGCAGATAGAATAGAAAAATACTCCAAGAATGGCTCTTCCATCTGTGGTCTGTGATATTAGTATATCAAGTTTAATTTTCACAAACTCTATCGGTTGAAAAAGTTGAATTACTTAAATAGGTCTAAGTGAGGGCTATCAAAAGCAGAGATGAGAAACATAGTAAAAGAAATTGGAAATGTAAATATTCACAATATGGACATGAAACCAAATTGAGAATTAAAGGAAGGCCAGTATAAACATTTATCCCCCTAAAGTCCATCATTTAAATTGGCTTCTGTTAATATATGATATATATAGTCTCCAAAACATGCCTTAACATATATAAATGTTTCACAATAAAAGATGGAATTAAACTATAATTAAAAGACTATTAAATTTTACATACTTATTTTTGGAATATTGTGAATTGAAACCAGTGGTGGGTGCTATACAACTGAGCTATAGTCCCATTTAGCTCTTTCTTTCTTTCTTTCTTTCTTTCTTCTTTCTTTTTTCTTTTCTTTTTTTTTTTTTTTTTTTTTTGTGTGTGTGACAGGGTCATGCTAAGTAGCCAAGTCAACTTGAAGTCCTTAAAACTTCTGATCCTATTGCAGAAGTCCTCAAATATTTTGATCTTCCTGACTCAGCCTCTCTAGTAACATATAAAATTATTAAAAAAAAACTTTCATTAATTTATCCTGATTTTCAAATTATTTAAAATTTAAGCATTAAAGGGTTTCCAAATGTATTTAGCTGACATTCTTTTATTCATTTAAATCAAGTATTATTATTCAAAATGGTTTATGAATTTTGAATTCATGAATGAAGTTTATGAATCCTCATTAAATCATTATTAATAAACATAAAAAATGACTAAGTCTTATGTCTTTTCTTCAGTCATTTTTAATTTTATGAGTTCCCATTTACAAGTGTTAAAAATGGACAGGAATGACTTTACCTCTTAAGTAATACTTTATATTAATTAAAGATATTTTGATTCAATATATATGGCAATAAGTCTCCATATATTTTATCTATTAGTATTTGGATTCTTCAATGGGGATGTGGCATTAACAATCACTCCCTATAAAATAAAACACATGACTATTTTGATGGTTTTACAAATTTTTTCTCAGTTGCAAATTCTAAACAACAAAAAAATAACAATTAGAGAACACTGATTTAACTTCCATCTTTAAAGAATTTCCCATATTCTTGTGAAAGAGAATATTAAAAATATCACCTTGCTATAACAATCCACTTTGTTAATACCATAGAAGATTGATGGGAGCAAGAAATCGTTATCACTTACTGGGGAATTTTATAGTCAACTCCAGGAATCATTAGGAAATGTTCTAGGCAAAAAATCAAAACCAAAATATCATAGTTATCCTTAAGTTTTTTTTCACTATTTTGATGTTGCGTAGCTTAGTCTTAACCAAAATGTTTTCCACTTATTCTCCCCTCAAATTACTTAAAATACACATTAAACAGTACAATAGCAATGATCAAAGAGCACAAACTATTTTGAAGAACAGAAAAAAATTTCTAGCACACACAGAGAGAGAGAGAGATCTCATAGTATAGAGCAGATTCCTTTGGAGATATTGCTCAATTATCTTATAAATCATTATGAAGTTTTCTCTTTCCTCTTTGGCGGGGCATCTACTCTGTTTGCAGTCTCCACTCCATTTTCTGTTCCTTTTCTAGAAGACCGGCCTTTAATCATGGGTTTTTTCTTCTTCAGACTCGAGGCCTGAAGATTAGAATCTTCTAGCCACCTCTGAAGCCAGACTGTCAGTAAGGTCCATGTTATATATGCTTGGATGGTGCAACTGGATGACAGAACAGCAATTTCAGCGGCCAACACGTTTACGTTTCCACTGATGGAATCCGTATCCCCATCCCGGGAATGGGATACAACCAAGTGTAGCCCAACAGTGACTAATGAAACAACTAAAGTTGTGAGTCGCCCCAAGACAAACACGATGGTCCACAGAGAAACCCCCTTCTGGTACTTTTCATCACTAAAATAAAACACGTCGCACAGGTGGGAAATCAATTCAACGAAATAATGCAGCACCAAAAGAAGTAGTCCCAGGTGATTCAAGTACAAGAGATAAGCTCCAGTGATGTGAAAGAGGTGAAGACCAATGTAGATGAGTTGACTAGGGATATCTTGTTTTCGGATTCTCTGGAAGTAGAGTTCCGGAAAACCATGAAACCAGTAAGCCAACTGTGAGATGTAGAAAAACTTCATTTGAAATGTCATCATGGTGTGGGAATGAGTCCTCCACAGGAGAGTTGGGTCTGACAGGCAGTTTTCAGACATGAGGATGATTGTGCCCCAGATACAGGAGACAATGTAGAACACACTAAACTGGCCAGATTCATTAAATTTGTTCTGTTTCGCTTTGGTGAACTGCATTCTCCTGCTAATTTTATCCAGGACATACTCCTGGATCGTGGCGTGAATGATGATCACCACCAGCATGTAGAAGAACACCGTGGCCAAATCTTTGACCCCGTAATGATACAGCGTCTTGGATCCCGTAGCCAGTTCTTCTGCAGGGACGACAACGCTGTGCTGAAGAGTGAGGAAAACGATCGACACTTCGGCCGTTCCCTCGAACATGAGCCCCAGCACGAAGAACATCCCCACGCAGGAGACGAGGTCCGCATGATTCTGCAGGATGAATTCTTGGCTCAGCACCGGGGGGTTCTTGGTGCCCTTCTTACGGAGCCCCATGGTGGCGCTTCCCGGATACTCACCGCCGAGCTGCAGCTGCCTCCCTCTGGCTGCTCCCTCACCACGCCGCTGCAGCAGCTCCGGGGGCTCCACTCCCCATGCCGGAGCCACCACCAGCCCAGGGTCGTAGCGACTGCCCGGAAAAAAATAAATAAATAAATAAATAAATCAAAGGCTGTGGGGCCCGAGCGGGTCCGAGCATGCGCACCAGGGGTACGGCAGAGGCAGGGAAGGAAATCGAGCGCCGCGCCCCTACCCGGCGCCAGGCCCCGGCTGAGAGCGAGGATCTTCCTCGCGGATCGCAGCTCTCCACCTCCACTGCCTCCGCCCAGAGGCACCTCGGAGCTTTTCTTCAGGGACATCCTCATTATAAATGCGACAGCACGGAGAGAGCTCTAGTTGTGTTTTCTCAGGTTGTAAATCACAACCGCAGTGTCGTTGTCGTCGTCATCATCGTCTTTATCATCAGTCCTCCTCCTCCTCACCGTCACCTCTCTGCCAACTCTCACCGTGCTGTTTACCAGATGTCATTCCACGCACTTTGTTTTTACTTACAAATTTAACCTTCCTAGAAAGCCAGCAAAGTAGATATTGATAGAATCTGCCCCCCCACCACCACCACCACTTTTGTTTGTTTGTTTTTGTTTTTGAAGGACAGGAAACTGAAAGCACAGGGAAGTTAAGTCATTCACAGGCTGACCATCCCATATTCACAGCCAACATTTAGATCCAGTCTGGCTCTCCAGAAACGTACTTCTCACTACTGTGCTTTTAAAATCAGTCACATCTAGAAATATTAGATCAACAGCAAAACATGTTAGAAATAGTTCTATTAGCATTAATAATGATTTTGCCAAGTTAGTAATTTTGAAAAACCCGGTGGCAGCTGGAAGCCCAGGGTAGTATTTACCAATTCATGGAAAGGTCTTTTGGCCACAAACATCAAAACCAAATTTCTCCAATCTCGTGTTTCATCTGTATGTTTTTTTCGTATATTTAGTTTTGCTAAAATTCACATTTCAAAAAAAAAAAAAAAAAAAAAAAGCTGCTTTTGTAAATGCTGGTAACTTTCTCAATTCAAATTTCACATTTGTCTTCAAATCTCTCTTTTAATGGTGAGTGATTTAGCGTTTCTTTGGTGTTTCATGAGATCACAGTTATTAATGTTGAGTTAAGATTTGCAGTTTGGAATACACATTTCAGGAGAAAAGGTGCTATGAGACTAAAAGAATAAAGTCAGTTTATATTTAGTCTACCCAATTGCCTTTTATCATTGTCTTTCTGTAAGCGGTAAACTGATAAGACACTACCCAGTTTATGTGATTACTTTTATGATATGGAACAGAATATTCTGATCAATAAACAGTGTGCCTGCATTCCCTAGAATAGCCAAAAAGGAGCACATGAAATTTGCTCTGGGGAGTATTCCTCAGTTAAGGAAAATACCGGTATATTTTTCTATAGCAAGTATTCCCTATTTTTGAAGTATTTCTCACGAGATATTTTCACTTTTTTTAAGGGTCCATTACACAGTTTTTTTTTTTTTTTTTTTTTTAGTTATCCAAGTTTTAACCTCAATTATTGGCTCTGACATCTCCAGTATAAATTTTAAAAACCTTTAAGGTTAGCTAAATTACTGAAATATTATAAACAGAGGTGAGCACTTTACTACTGAGCCAAAAAAAAAAAAAATCAAACTTATTGAAAGCAATCTGTAGGAAGCAATCTAAGATAAGAGTAGTGTCTTGTAGGAATATCAAGAACTCTACTGGAAAAAGTAACTATTTACCTGTTTCAGACTAATGATAACTTAAATGTAGAGTCAGTCTGTCTTTGTATTAGCATAAACATGATGACTGATCATTTGGTGGCAAACAAACTAAATATAAAAAAAAAAAAAACACTTGTGCAATTGGAGCTCAGTGGCACATGCCTGTAATTCCAGGGGCTCAGGAGACTGAGTCAGGAGGGTGTTGAGTTCCAAGCCATCCTCAGCAACAGTAAGGTGCTAAGCAACTCAGTAAGGACTTGTCTCTAGATAAAATAGAAAAATGGGGCTGGGAATGTGGCTTAGTGGTGGAGTGCCCCTTCGTTCAATCCCTGGTTAACACCCCCCCATACACACACACACACACCGAAAAAAGAAAAAGAAAAGAAAAGAAAAAATGCTTGTACAATTTCTGAATTTAGACTTTGTTTATATATATTTTTGTTACTAGTTGATAGACTTCCTCACCCTACCTGTGCCAATATCATTTATATTTTTACCACTAAGGAAGAAAAGTACATGTCAAAATGAAGCCAACAAATATTTATGCAATGATATAAGGTGTTATTTTATTATTAAAGGAATAAAAGCATTTATGGGAAAGTTTTAAATTGCCAGTTGGCTTAATAATAAGTAAAAAATAAATATTACCCACTGTGCCCCCATTCCTTACTTGTATTTAAAAAATCACTTCTTTCATCATATTATCTTTCACTTCTTTGAACTTGTAACATAAAAAAGATTCTCTGTATTCTAAATTTTTAAAAAATATTTTATTTTAGTTATCGATGGACACAATACCTTTATTTATTTTTATGTGGTGCTGAGGATCGAACCTAGTGTCCCACATGTACAAGGTGAGCACTTTACTACTGAGCCACAACCCAGCCCTGTAATCTGAATTTTTAAATTTAAATTTTAAAATAGATGTAGTCATTATTTGAATTTTAGATGTATTTTTCACATAAATATAATCATAAAAATATAAACTGTCAAATTTCTAAAATTATTGGACTCTAAAGGTACTTTGGTGATATTATATAATATTATGCTTGACATCAGTGGTTTTATTAGCATTTTATTTCACAATGAATAAAATGTGTATAATAGTAATTTTAAAAATTATGATGGCACTATGATTATTATATCATTTAATGTACTTGGGCAATATTCCTCCTTTATACATGGCCCTGTGCCTATAGTACACATAATTATTACAATTCATATGTTGATTTATATGTTTATACATTCGTCTATGAGGGAGTAACTGAACTTCTACTCCTTTGTAACTAATCTTAAAATTAAACAAAATTTATGGAACTACTTTTATTTCTGATTTTGCAAGACACACAGAATAAAAATTTCTCATAGAGAGAAGGGAGACAAGGGAGAAAAGTTTGGTCTCCCTTTTCCACAAATGTCCTAGTTTTCTGCCTGCAAGCATTTTCCAGACCATTGTGCAAGGAGACAAAATCTAAAAGATCCAGGATATCTTGCTGATTTGAGAGACAGTACTTAGGAGAAGCTGAGGCACTAAAATTTGCTAGCAAAGCATTTCTGCAGAGAGAGGTAATAAATGAGCACCCAAAATTTACATAAATCATCCTTAGAATCTAATACTAATATTAAGCCTTGTATGCAAAGTGTTAAAATACATGCCACCCACACAGAATAATAGAAAAATTGTACATTAAAATTTCCCAAGATTTAACAGATAACTAGGGGACTTTCAATGTTGGAATAGCTAAGAATTTTCATTGAATACTTGTAGTATTCTTTGGAGACAAGAAAAATTAGAGTTTTAAGTAAAGGTAAACTTTCGCTAGAAAAAAAAACTAATATTTCTCTGAAGTTTATAAGAAGACTTAAAAAGATCAAGGTACTCCATTAGGAACTTAACCACCTTCCAAAATATCCATCCCTCAACACTGGGAAATTTACATTGTCTAACGTCTATCTAGTATAGAAGTAACAAACAAATACTGTAGGGAGCTGGGACTGTCTATTAGAATGTCAACATATAGCCTCTTCATGTGGTGGTGACATCACCATAGAACATAGCTGAAGTCTCCAAGAATGAGCTCTAAAATGAACAAGACAGAAATTCATAGTAGTTGATGACCTAGCATTAGAAGTCATATATAACTTTCATTGTCAAAACAAGTATGAACCTGTTTGCTTTCAAGAAGGGATGGAGGTGAGTATGAAATGAAGGGTGGGTATCATAGACATCACCTGCTAATGAGATGTCCTCTGAGTATTTGTGACTGAAATTTTGAACAGCCACATCTATTCCCTTGGCAACACATTTGTTTCTTCCTTCATAATAGCCAGGATTTCTTCCTAGTTGGCAGGGTAGGGGAAAGCAATAGTTTCAAGCAAATATAACATCAGGCTCAGGCTTATTATCCAGAAATTTGAAAGCTAAATTAGATCCAAGTTGAAGTGGAGATCTTTGGGTCCGTTCTTTGTTATACTTTATCTTGTTCTGAAGATCTGTGAACACAAGAAAAAAGGATTCTATAAACATTGATTGGGCTGTGTCCCTGTAGTATGCTGTTTTTATGTCCTTTGGGTATAGTCTGAGAAGAGGAATAGCTGGATCAAAGGGTGGTTCCATTCCCAGCTTTCCAGTGAATCTCTATACTGCTTTCCATATTGGCTGCACTGATATAAGGCGGGTGACTCAAAGTGGGATAGGGAGGGACAGCATGGGTGAAAATTACCTCTAGTTAGGGAATAGGGGTGGGAGGAAAAGGGAGGGAGAAAGGGAATAGCAAGGATAGTGGAAAGAGGCGGTCATCATTATACAAAATTCATGTATGAAGATATGAACTTGGTGTCAACATACCATATATACAAACAGAGATTTGATAAATTGTGGTATAAAGGTGTATTAAGAATCGTAATGCAAAAAAAATTATGAATGTAATGCGCTCCACTACTGTCATGTATGTAAGAAATTAAAAAAAAAAAAAAAAGAAATAAGGATTCTAGTCTTCACACCCACAAAGGCAAGAAAAATGCAGTGGCTTAACTAATTCAGGAGTGGGTTAATGGATGCACACAGCATTCTATGATCAATAATGATTATGGAATCTATGCAAATAATGTCTATAGACCTTTGATAAGAATTGAATATTTTTCTGTGAGAAATGGTGCAATTGTTTTTTCAAAAGCATGAGTTAAATATTATAAATTGATTTGTTGTTTGGTGTGATAAAAATTATAGGCCAAATAAGTCAAATAATGTTAATTTTTGTGATATAATAGTCACCAATCATAGTACTCATTATGAAATATTCATTATATATTAGCACTTTAAGGAACTACTATTCCATCAAGAAATTTACAGTGGGAGCAATAGAAGAATGGAGAAACTAATTTCTGACTGACCTGTACAGAGAATTGCCACACACAGAACAAATCATTTTAAAAATGTCTTATTGATTTCATTATGAACAATATTTGATTTAAAGCATTAATTTGAATCACACTATAATTTATATACTATATTTCAAATAATTGTTATTTGTTCTTTCCATTAGCTATGCCATTATTTTATATTTGTACTTTATATTTTTTGATATCTGTATTTTATACAAAGAGCTTAGCTAAAAGTGTTCTTTTAAATGACTTATTAGCCCTT